ATGTCAGACTCCCCAGTTCAGTGGGGAGTCTGGTTCTCCTTCTGCCTCTCCCCCACTTGTACTCTCTCTCTCTCTCATATTAATTTTAAAAATCTTAAAAATGAAGATTTATTTTTTTTTAAAGATTGTATTTATTTGACAGACACAGATCACAAGTAGGCAGAGAGGCAGTCAGAGAGAGGAGGAAGCTCCCTGCTGAGGAGAGAACCCGACTCAAGGCTGGATCCCAGGACCCTGGGATCATGACCAGAGCTGAAGGCAGAGGCTTTAATCCACTGAGCCACCCAGGCGCCCCAAAGTAAAGATTTATTTATTTATTTGAGAGAGACAGACAAAGTGTGCGTAGGAGAATGGGGGAGTGGCAGAGGGAGAGGATCTTCAAGCCAACTCCCCAGGGAGCGCGGAGTCCGATTTGGGGCTCAATCTCCTGACCCTGAGATCACTACCTGAGCCAAAACCAAGAGTCAGACGCTTGAGCAACTGAGCCATGCAGGCACGCCTAGAGGTATGAAAAATTTACATGCAACGTTTGGTTGAAGAAAGCAAGAACAACAAAAAAGGAATACTTATATGATTCTATTTTTGTGAAGTTCAAAGTCATGCAAAACTAAATGATATATTGTCTAAGAGTACATGTATAGGTGGTGACACAAAAGAAAATGAAGAGAAGGATAAATACCAAATTCAGGTTACCCCTGAAAATAAAGAAGGAGGGGCACCCAGGTTACTTCATTGGTATTGGTGATATTCTGTTTCTTATGTGGGGGAGAGGATATAAGTGTTTATTTAAATATTATCCTTTTCTCTATGTATGATATATTTAACCAGAAAAGTGAAAGAAAGGAAGGAAAAGAAGGCAGAAAGAGAGAAGGAAAAAGAGTAGAGGGTACAGGGAAGTAAGGATGATGATCAAAGGAGAGAGGTTAAGAAAACAAAAGTCAGTTAATTACTCAAAGCACCAACCCCTGCCTCATTGTTCCTTGGTTCTGAGGCCCAAAGAGATGATCTCTTTGGTTCATTCATCATTTTTTTAACTGCATACTTCTGTTATTTTCATTTCATTATTATAATAGCATTAAAGGAATTCTGAAGAAAAATGAGTCAGCCTTAATTCCATTAACCTAGTCTACTGTCTCTATACCAGACTGATGGCATCTAGACTCACATCCATTGGTCCAGTAGGGAGGGAGCCAGCTTTCCCCCCATCCTCCATCCTCCAGCAGAGATTCATTGTTCCTTTATCTGCAGTCTACTTTTCTCCGCGTGAACCTCACCATATTCTGCCTTGCTTCTTCCCTGAAAGGTTTGGCCAGGGACATTTCTGATGTCTGTTCTTTCTCTTATTCCTTTCAGATAACAGCCAAAAAGCGGAAATCTCCCCTTTTCCAGACACTGAAGCCATTCTATTTCTGACCACCAGGGGGCATCCCCGCTCAGCTCTGCTCTTCCTCATGCTGTACAACTGGTCAACTGAGGAGAGAGAAGTCCCTGGCTAATTGCTAATAAGGTTATCCCTGTAGAAGTATTTTCAAATTTTTGTTTCTGGCTTCTACATCGACTTTTATATCCTGATTTTGTCTTGTCCACGTGCATGTTCCAAAGAAGTTCTCTGAGATAGCTTCATGGTCACCCACACCCTTTTTCTCTCAAGACTATTGTCTTTAAATTCTGGGTATAAGAAGTCTGGGTCTGGTCATGCTTCTGGTTGCCTGAATATTCTCTCTTGGGAAGAAAAACAAAAACAAAGCCAAACTCCAGAAAATGCAGCACATTCTGTTCAATGTTTCTTCTGGTGGTGAAGTCGAAATTCTTTGAACATCTGAGGTTTCTTAGCAACCAAGTCTTGTTTATATTCTTTTTAAAGATTTTATTTATTTATTTGTTTGTTTGTTTATTTGTTTATCAGAGGATTGAGAGACAGCACAAGCAGGGGGATCGGCAGGCAGAGGGAGAAGCAGTCTTCCTGCAGAGCAGGGAGCCCGATGTGGGGCTGAACCCCAGGATCATGACCTGAGCCAAAGGCCGACACTTAGCTGACTGAGCCACCCAGGCATCCCCAGGTCTTGGCCATGAAGAGAGTGAGAACTCTCTTAATACTAATGTTGTTTTTGACCCACAACATGGTGTGATGATAAAATAACAAGACTGGTTTTCCTATATGTGTTAGAACCAGACCTCGGCCCCTCCCACATTGGAGTCCATATTTGGATGGAGCAATGAAATAGATGTCTTGTTCTAAAGTGACTGTGCTGGAGTGGAAAAGCTCATTGCTTTGTTCCCATACCTCCTCTATTTGGAGAAATACTCCTTTGATTCTACTTAGTGACTTGGAGGTCTTAAAGAGGGACATGCAAGTGGCGGTTCTGGTATCCAATACATGTAAGGGAAGACGCCAGTTTCCCGGTTGGAGACCGGACCCATTTACTGCCTTGAGCTCAGGAGCAGCATAAAGACTTCTTAGGCATTAGGTGGACATGAATTTGAGGACACAATTGATTTGTTCCTAAAACTCCCCGTGTTATAGGCACAGGGTGTTTGAGAAGTGGCACTGCTGAACCACTGGGAATGTGAATTTTAAATTTTAATGGAGATAGATAAATTATTTTCCCAAAATTTACAGTCTAAAACCCCCAAGCAACCCAGTTAAAAAGAGGACAAAAGTACTGGACAGATACCTCACCAAAGAAGGCCTCTAATCATGAAAAGATGTTCCACATCATATGTCCTCAAGGAAATGCATATTAAAGCAAGTGAGATGCCTAAGATCCAGAATGCTAAGAGCCCCACGCTGGCGAGGGTGTGGAGCAATAGGAACGCTCATCCATTGCTGGGGGGAACGAAAAATGGTACAGCCACTTTGGAAGATAATTGGCAGTTTCTTGCAAAGCTAAACATAGTCTTACCATAAGACTGAGCAACGGTGCTTCTAGATATTTACTCAAATGAGAGTAAAACTTAGGACCACACAAAAACCTGCATATAGGTGTTTATAGCAGCTTTAGTTATAATTGTCAAAAATTGGAAGCAGCCATGATGCCCTTTAATAGGTGAATTGATAAATAAACCATGGCACATCCATTTTAATGGAATATTATTCAGCAATAAGTAGACATGAGCGATCGGGGTGCCTGGGTGGCTCAGTGGGTTAAGCCTTTGCCTTAGGCGCAGGTATGATCTCAGGGTCCTGGGATCGAGCCCTGCATTGGGCTCTCTGCTCCACGGGGGGCCTGCTTCCCCCTCTCTCCTTCTGCCTGCTGCTCTGCCTACTTGTGATCTTTTTCTCTGTCAAATAAATAAATAAAATCTTTAAAAAAAATGAGTGATCAAGTCACAGAAAGACATGGAGAAATACCAAGTACGTATTGCTAAGAGAAACAAACCAGTTTGAAAATGCTGTAATTCCAATTATATGACATCCTGGAAAAGGTGAAACTGTAGAGCCTGGTTGCCTGGTGTTGGGCAGGGAGGGAAGGAGGAATGACTGGGTGCAACACGCGGATTGTTAAGAGCAGTGAAATTATCCTGTATGATCTGATAATGGTGGGTACACGACATTATGCCTTTGGCGAAGCCCACAGGATGTACAACAAGCAAACCCTAATGTAAACTATGGGTTGTAATTAATAATAATGATGATGATGATAATACCAATATTTGTTCATCAATTGTAACAAATGTACCACACAGATGTAAGATGGTACTTACAGGAAAAACTGATTGTGGGAAAGGAATATATGGGAACTCTCCGTACTTTCTGTTTAATTTTTGAAGTATTTTTATTTGTCAGAGAGAGCGAGCCAGCACAGGGGGAGAAGCAGGCAGAGGGAGAAGCAGACTCCTCGCTGAGCAGGGAGCCTGATGAGGGAGGGGATCGATTCCAGGACCCTGGAATCATGACGTAAGCCGAAGGCAGACGTTTAACCAACAGAGTTACCCAGGTGCCCCCCATTTTTTTAAAACCTAGACCTGCTTTAAGAAATAAAGTCTGCTTAAAAAAAGAAAAAAAAGGAAAAAAAAGAAATAAGGTCTGCTAATTAAAAACATTAAAAAGTTGGGGTGCCTGGGTGGCTTAGAGGGTTAAGCGTCTGCCTTCAGCTCAGGTCATGATCTCTAGATACTAGGATCCAGCCCCATGTCTGGCTCCCAGCTGAGGGGGGAGTCTGCTTCTCCCTCTCCCTCTTCCCCAGCTTGTGCTCTGTCTCTGTGTCTCTCTCAAATGAATAAATTTTTAAAAATCTTCAAAACATAAAACATTTACAGACTCATCAAGAGTGTACATCTTCATTCCTATCTTTGTTTATACGTTTGGTGACAAAATTTTGACAGGTGTTCAATCTGATGGATCAAATTTGGTCTTTTATTATTATCTTAATCACATTTCCCTGTGTTCTACTCAGACTGAACACCTTTTCCAGATTGGACTTTCCAAGTTTGCCTATTATAAATCACCTGTTCCTGACTTTTACCTGTTTTTTCCAGTCAATTGTTGATCTTTTGAATGTGGAATTGTGGAAGCTTTAAAAAAAAAGGCTTATTCTTTTTTTTTTTTTTTAACATGTTGTAAATATTTTCCCACAATCTGTCATTTCTTTTTCAACTTGGATAATAATGTCTTTTGTCCTGGAGAAAGCTTTGAATTTGAGAGAGTCTGGCCTGGAAATGGGCCTCCAGGGAGCCACGTGATCTGAGCCAGCCCTCAAGGAGAGCCCACTCCTCTGGCCAGTCTTGTTCTTGGTCCTCATTCTTCAAGCTGAACCCAGAGCTCTCTGCTCCAGGGTGTCCGTTTAGGCTCCTCTTGGCCGTGCTCTGAAACTGGCACAGCTTTATCTAATGGGATGAACCTGGCTAATGAGATTAGCGAGATGTCTTGTGGTCCCCACTTTTAATCTGCAGCCTTCAGGCTCTCTCTGCTTGGCCGGGAAGGAAGCTGTAGGAACATCGCAGAGCCTGGGCCCCTTCCTGAGCTGCACCTCTGCAGCCCATTACCACGACTACGTCCCTGGGGGTCCCAGGGGAAGGAGTGCAGCATGGGCAGCTCCCAGGGTGGCTCCCTACAGCGTGGGCCATCTGCTCCCTTCCCAAGGCCCTGAGTTTTCAGCCTCTGGGCTCACGAAGGTCAGAAGTGGGAGCTGTGCTGTGGGAAGCTGCCTGGACCGCACTCGGCAAGGATGGCGCTGCTGAAGGTCAAATTCGACCAGATGAAGCGGGTGAAATTGGCCCAAGGGCTCTGGCTCATGAACTGGCTCTCGGTGTTGGCTGGCATCGTCATCTTCAGCCTAGGGCTGTTCCTTAAGATCGAACTGAGGAAGAGGAGTGAAGTGATGAATAATTCAGAGAGCCATTTTGTGCCCAACTCCTTGATAGGGATGGGGATGCTGTCCTGTGTCTTCAACTCTCTGGCAGGCAAGATCTGCTATGACGCCCTGGACCCTGCCAAGTACGCCAAGTGGAAGCCCTGGCTGAAGCCGTACTTGGCTGTCTGTGTCCTCTTCAACATTGCCCTCTTGCTGGTGACCCTCTGCTGCTTCCTCATGCGGGGCTCCCTGGAGAGCACCCTGGCCCACGGGCTCAAGAACGGCATGAAGTACTACCGAGACACAGATACCCCTGGCAGGTGTTTCATGAAGAAGACCATCGACATGCTGCAGATTGAGTTCAAATGCTGTGGCAACAATGGCTTTCGAGACTGGTTTGAGATTCAGTGGATCAGCAATCGCTACCTGGACTTCTCCTCCAAAGAAGTCAAAGAGTGAGTGGTCTCTGGTCCTGGGGTCAGAGCTAGATGGGGACTCGGAGGCCCATAGGGGTGCTCTGTGTGCACAACTTAGTACTTAGTACGATGTGTGGGAGGCTGGATTCAGTTGGCCCATAGGAAGTTGCCAATATGCTGACATTTTTGACCTATAAAGAAGGCGATGTCATATGTTCCACCTAATGTCTGGCTAAGGAATGGCTGGGAGGAAGGTGTCAAGTTATAGAAGTTGCTTGGATAGGAGTCTCCAGGGAGGAAGACACAGCCAGGAATGTGAGTCTGCTTCATTCAGTAGGGATGGGGCACTCACAGATCACAAATACTGAGATGTCATTTGGTTCTTTGTCTTATTCACTCAAAGTTCATGCATTCAGCCCCAGAACTTAAATTTCCTGGTTAGTTCCCTTGTTTTCCAACCTTCTGACTCAGAGCACCTCAAGGTGTTTGTCCTTGTGTGTGGTGGAAAGAGCAGAGGACAGGGCAGTCAGGAGGTCCAGGCTATAGTCTAGGATGTGTTGTAACTTAGCTTGTGACCTTGGGTAAGTCACTTGCCACTCTGGTCCCCTGCTTGCCCATCTTTTAAATGAAGGCACTGGAATAGATAATCTTGAGAGGTCACCTCCTAGCTTCATCTAGAGTCTGGCATACAGCAGGTGCCTATTAAATGCCTGCTGGTGTGTACTTCTTGAATCACGGTAGTGTGACACGATAATGTTTCTAGAGTATTTGCAGTGTGCATAAAAATAAAATCCTGAGGTGCGACGTAGTACTGGTGAGCTAGAGGTGGAGGTGAGAGCGGCTGACTCCGGCCCGCTGCTCTTCCCAAAAGACCCACCATTATTGGTCTCAAGTCATTTTCCAGGGAAAGGGTGGCCTGCCCTGAGCCCGTGGCTTGTCCTCACCTCTTCTTTCCATCCCATCCAACCCATTCCCTGGCTGAGGCAAGGGGTCAGCTGTTCATCCAGGTTGGTCCTGGGTAAGACTGGTGAGCCCAGGGGGACTTGCACACAGGGTGCTGGGCACGCCGGCAGCAGGGCATGGCTGAAGCCCGGACAACACCCAGGAAGCCCAGATGGGCTAGCTTAGCTGCACCTCAGATGGAAGGAAAGTCAGACTGAAGGTCACTGTTGGGGCTTCTATTTTCTCTGTGGGTGGGGATTACTGCTACAAATCTCCAGTCAAGGAGAGGCTGGTAAATCGCTTTGCCCTTCCTAGGTGACAGGTCTTGCAGGGACAGCACGAGGTGGCAAAACTCACACAAGCTGCCGCAGGAGGGACAAGCAGAATTCATGGGGATGGGAGTGGGAGAGGGGGTGAAGCTGAAACAGCCTTTGTGAGCAAATAAGAAAGGGCTTTACTTTTTCCTGTCATTTTCCTTGATTGCCTTCGGCACAGAATTAGACACGGGAGAGATGTACAAAGTCTCTCTTTAATCCCCAAATCTCCTCTTGCCCTGGAGCGGAGAAATTCTCCAGCTTGTTCTACTCCCAATGGCTGGTTTATCTGCATTGTCAGGCAAACAGCAGGCTGGATCCAAACCACCTCAGTGCTTCATAGCAACTTGCTGGAGAGAAACTATCCTAACTCGCTGACTTGAAAAAAAGTTTCTCAGCTACACAAAAAAATGCGGTGACAACATTAAGAGAAACAAAAACAGGAAAACAAAAACAACAACAGAAAAGCCAGAGTCTCACCCACCACTGACTAATGGCTTTAATTTCCTCCCATTTTGGTTTAGTCTTAACATTTACATAATAAATAGTGTAACCATGGAATAAATACAACTGAGCGCCCCATTTTGTAATATGATCACATAATATTTGCATAATGTTCAAAACAACTGTTTTCTCCCCAGCTTTGTTTAAATATAATTGACAAATAGCCTAGCATGTGTTTAAGGCACAGAACATGTTGATTTGATACACTTAGGTATTGCAAAGTGATTACTACGGTCACGTTAGCTGACACATGGCACGTAATGGCCATTGCATTTTTGTGGTGAGAACTCTCTTAGCAAGTTTCGAGGATCTAACACAGTATAGTTAACTATAATCTCCATGTTGTGCAGGAGATCCCCAGAACTTACTCATCTTATCACTGGAAGTTTGTACCCTTTCACCAACAACTCCCTTTCCCTCTCCCCGCCCCCAGCAACCGCAACCACCAGTCTAGTCTCTGCTTCTATGTATTTGGTTTTTTAGATTTTACAGGTCAGTGAGATCATCCAGTATTTGTGTAAAGGGATCATGTTTCAGTGATGCATCATATGACACTCACTGAAAGGACACACTTAGACACATTTAGGGTGTTCTAATTTGCCTCTTCTGGTAACACTGGAGTAGGCTTTGGCTTCTGTCTCTTTGTCTCTGTCTCTCTCTTACTTCCCTTAGGCTAAGTTTCCAGGTGGAAAATGTACCTGTTGGCTGTAACTTTTCATAAAGCTGGTCTTAAAACACAATGTTAGAACTGAAATGCCTTTCTCCTTTCCAAAACCTCCCACGATGTCACCCTCCTGTGCTAAGGGTACAGCCTCATAGGGTCACCTTCACAGAGAGAGGACCACGTCACTGCTTTCTGCAAATTCTCATGTTTGACCAGTGGACAACACCTGTGAGTGAGGGGAGGCTCCTGGGGTGTGGAGTGGCATTTCCTCCCTTTCCAGATGTTCACATTTTTTTCATGTCTTGACTTCTTTACTTAGGAGGATTATTAGTTTTCCAGACAAAGCTGGCCCCTGAAAATCCTCCTCTGAACAATCAAGTGTATTTATTTTTGGGGAGGACAAGCGGTGGGAAGTAGGAAGCATTTACTTTCTCTGGGTTTTCTCAGCAGCACCCTCCCTGGAGGGATCCGGAGGCAGCAGACCCAAGAGAGGCAGGGGTGGGGCCCAGCCAGAGGGCAGGATGAGGGAGAAGCAGCATCTTCCACCAAGATTTTTTTTTTAAGATTTTATTTATTTATTTGACAGAGATCACAAGTAGGCAAAGAGGCAGGCAAAGGGGGGGGGGAAGCAGGCCCCCCGCGGAACAGAGAGCCCGATGCGGGGCTCGATCCCAGGACCCTGAGATCATGACCTGAGCCGAAGGCAGAGGCTTAACCCACTGAGCCAGCCAGGTGCCCCAAAACTTTTTTTTAAAAAAGGGTTTATTTGTTTATTTGACACACAGAGAGAAAGAACAAGCGGGGGGAGTGGGAGAAGGAGAAGCAGACTCCCCGCTGAGCAGGGAGCCTCGATCCCAGGACCCCGGGATCATGACCTGAGCTGAAGGCAGACACTTAATCAACTGAGCCACCTAGGAGCTCCTTTCACTAAAATTTTTTTTAAGGAATTCTTCACTTTTTTCTCTTTTTCCTCTCCCCACCAAATTCAGAGGAGCCAATATAAAGGCTGGGTGGCCTCAGTTTCCTCCTTGACCCTGAAGACTCTGGGAGGTAATCCCAGGAGCAGTGAGCTGGTTGGAGGTGGGAAGACTGCAGAAAATGCACCAAGCTCCTCCAGTGACACTGGTCCTGGGTAGGGCAGTGTCTAGTGCCCATGACTTCTGGTCCTTTCTGGAGGCTCTGCCCCTGGGACATCTCTCCCCATTCCATACGATGCACACCTTGCTGGACTGGGCTACAGAAAACATTTCCAGCCTGGGTGCTGAAAGGTGGAACTGGGTTCCTGCACATAGGGCTCCCTGGGACCTCCCAAGCTATGCCCCTCCTCCCATGGTCCCCTGACAAATTGAGCACAGAGCTTGTGGTCCCGGCAAACATGGAGAGGTGCGTTGCCTGGGTGGCTCAGTCAGTCGGGTGGCTGCCTTCGGCTTGGGTCATGGTTCCAGGGTCCTGGGATCGAGCCCCATGTTGGGCTCCCTGCTCAGCGGGAAGCCTGTTTCTCCCTCTCCCTCTCTCTCTCTGCTGCTGCTCTACCCACTTGTGCTGTCAGATAAATAAATAAAATCTTAAAAAACAAAACAAAACATGGAGGGGTGGCTGGTGTTTAGAGATTTCTTAGGGGGATCTTTAAGATCAAGGACTGTTTCCTGAAAGCTCCTGGACTAAACAATATCAACTGAAGACTTTTTAAAAAGATTTTTTTTTTTTTTAGAGAATCTTTTTTTTTTTTAAAGATTTTATTTATTTATTTGACAGAGAGATCACAAGTAGGCACAGAGGCAGGCAGAGAGAGAGGGGGGAAGCAGGCTCCCTGCCGAGCAGAGAGCCTGATGCGGGGCTTGACCCCAGGACCTGAGATCATGACCTGAGCCGAAGGCAGAGGCTTAACCTACTAAGCCACCCAGGTGCCCCCAAAAAGATTTCTTTTTTTATCCACTTGCGAGAGACAGTGAGAAAAAGAGAGAGAGAGAGAGAGAGAGAATAGGCAGGAGTGAGGGGTAGAGGGAGAGGGAGAAGTAGACTCCCACTGAGCAGAGAGCCTTATGTAGGGCTCAATCCCAGAACCTAGAGATCATGACCTGAGTGAAGGCAGAAGCCTAACCCACTGAGCCACCCAGGCACCCCACCCCAGATTTTTATGAGTTTAAAATCTCCCCATCTGCCCCACCCCGGCAGTCCCAGGCAAACAGCCTGCTGGCCACACCCCACCCCAGTCTGCCCTATCGCTCTGCTGTCAGGTCCCACATTCATTCTGCACAAAACCCCTCCTTGGGGAGTTTGTAATTCTTTTAAGTGTGGTTCTTCTTTTAGGTATTGTTTTCTCTATTTTATAGGTGAGAGATGGGAGCCTCAGGTTGGATCTCACAGCAAGAAGCAGGGGTCGATTTTTAAAAAAACAGGCTTATTGATATCATTCACATTCCTTACAACTCACCTACTGAAAGAGGACAGTTCAATGGTTTTTGGCATGTCCACAGAGCTGCGCTACCAGTCAATACCATAGCTCACTCTAGAGCATTTTCATCATGGGGCAGGGATGGCCTCTACCCTAGCCTCCCATGGCCTGCCTCTAAAGGACCACTGTCTCCTCTCTGTCTCTACATTCCTCCCTCTTC